TAATCTCTTTCTAATTGGCATTTTATTTCTTAGAACTTGTTGGCCTAGTGGTTGTGAATTTTATCTTTCGAAGCTTGTTCTAAGGAGCTTCGTCATTCAGTGAAGCTTCTTTAAAAGCCGACGTCTGTGAAACACGAATATTGTCATTTGCGATCTAAAAACACGAAAAAAAAATATCATTTTGCTAAAACAATTTTAGGCTGCTTTACTAAATGAATGTAATTTCAAGAATCAACGTTCAGTGCAACCGAACGGGAATTCACTAAATTCTGATGGTCATTCAGGCCTTACACCCTCCCTCATCACAAGTCACCTAACGGAAGCTTAACTATCCCCATCAAGAATTGGAGTGGAAGAAGCCTAGCTTTTACTCTGATAGAGAGGGAGAGGAGAGAGAGAGCGAGAGAGAGAGAGATTCCAATTCCCCAATCAAAGGAAGTGGAGGAAGAGGAGGAAGAAGAAGAAGCGGGGCTCTGAGGTATCCAGCGAGTTGCAGTGTCTCCACAATTGGAGGGGAGGGATGCTTGTTCAGAACCGCTCCGCCCATGATCCTCGGCTCTCCAACAACCACCGCCGTTCCACTGTGTCCGCGGTTGCTACCACCGGCGACGTCGGCAAGGGTTTAGACGGTCTCGCTTCCTGGACCTCCGAAAATCTGTCCAAGATCGTTATTGCCGGGCTTTTCATCGCCTCCGCTGCTGCTGTCATTATCCTACTTCCAGGCATTGGCGACACTGCTGCTTTTCTTTGCTTCGAGAGATCTGAGTCCTCTCACTTCGATTCATCCCGCATTCACCTACCCTCTGTCAACTGGAACTCCGTCCCTCGTATCGTTCCGGCCATATCAGATCCATTCTATTCCTTTCGCGCAGAACGTTGGATCGTCGTCGCAGCTCCATCGCACTCTCTGCCCTCCGCTACCCTCCGTCGCTTGGCTGGTACCAAGGGCTGGCAGCTTCTTGCAGTGGCCACATCCCGAACTCCTCTTGACTTCACACTTAAAGGCGCTATCATTCTCTCACTCGAACTCCAATCCCGACTCGGCTTCCGCTCCACCGCCTTCCTCCCTTATGATTCCCATGTCCGCAAGTCCATCGGCTACCTATTCGCTATCCAGCACGGCGCACGCCTGATCTACGACACAGATGACCGGGCGGATGTATTAGACGGTGACATCGGCCGGCGATTTGACCTACAGCTCTCCAGCGGTAACGAAATCCTCCTCCAGTACAGTCACCATGACCCTAACCGCACGGTTGTCAACCCCTATATCCACTTCGGCCAACACTCGGTCTGGCCGAGGGGTCTCCCTCTTGATTGCGTCAGCAAAATCGACCGTGAAGAGTTCTACACGGAGGTCTATGGCGGTAATCAGTTTATACAGCAAGGCCTCTCTGATGGGCTCCCTGATGTAGACGCTGTGTTCTACTTCACCCGCAAGTCCTCTGGGCTCGAAGCCTTTGATATCCGATTCGACGGAGACGCTCCAAAGGTGGCGCTTCCTCAGGGAATCATGATACCTGTCAACTCTTTCAACACTCTGTTCCACTCCCAGGCTTTCTGGGCTCTGATGCTCCCTGTCTCCGTTAGCTCCATGGCATCTGACGTGCTGCGTGGATATTGGACGCAGAGGATTCTATGGGAGATTGGTGGTCATGTTGCAGTTTACCCGCCGACCAT